CTTGCCAGTGATCTGCTTGTACCCTCCCCCCCCCCCCCCCCCCCAGCTCTGCCCTCCTCCCAGCACAGCCACAACCAGCCCCAATGGAGCCAAGAATGTAGGAGTGTTTCAGCCAGTGTGTGGGATTTAGCTCGTCAGAAGCTCAGGGTCACCTCCACACCCTCTCACTTTGAAATGGACCCCTGGTGGCAGCTCCTGGGAGAGCCCAGTGATGTCTCTATCAGCCTGTCAAAAGAGATAGCCCGGGGCTCCACCAGGTCCCCCTGAGCCAATCAAACTCTTCACAAAGCACAGATGGATGCTCTTTCACCAGCGTGCTACTGCTGAGGAGGGGGGCACCCGGCCGCGATGCTCAGTCCCCCAATCAGTTAGAACAAACTCCCATTGGTGGGGTCCAAGCCTCAGTTCAGCCCAACTTCAGATCTAACTATGTATATTTTAAAAGAGAGTACTTGCCATTTGCCTACTAGCAGAAAGAAAGCCGGTAGAATTAGTTTCCTTTTTTACCTGCTTTATGTCTCCAAGTGCCTCTTATTTAGACTTTCATACATTAAATCAGTGCAGTATAAACTGTAACATTTTTGAAGGAAATTGTTTTGTTTGCAAAATTCAAAATGGTAAAAGGTGTCAAAATTTTTGTGTAAGTAAACTAAATATGATTGAGAAAATAAAGGATATACTACATCCTTCTACTTGGAAAAACTATTGTGGAGAGACAGATGGAAAAACCAGAGTATGTGTGTGTGTAACCATCAGATTGTCCAGGTGATTTTAGTGGAAATGTAAAGCACTAAGTGCTGAGGATGGAGAGAGCACTCTCTGTGAGATGAGCTCTTTCTCTCTCATCTGGACCCTGTTATTGTGAGAAGGCAACAAAGCAATGCATTAGGAAGCACACTGGAGCCACACAGCTTTGATGTGAGCTCGGTAACCAAGGCGCAGCGGTGGCCGGTGTGTGAGCTCTGTTCCAATGGCTGTGTTGTGTAATCAGATGTGTTTGCTGTGTATTCAAGTAAAGAAGTGGTGTAATCCATCCTCACTAGAGTGCAGTTATTGAAAAAACACAGGCTAAAACAAGAGCTCAAACTGATCAAGATTCTTTATTCAGGATTCTTGCAAATTCTCCATTTGATGATGCACACACGATACTGGGTAAAAATAAAACTCTCAAATAATCAGTCTAACATACAGCTACATAGACACTTTACCTAAAAAAATGAAGTGGGTTGGAAATAATACACATACCATCCATAAATATATATATGTGTTGGTAGGATAAAAGATGAGAAAGCTGACAGCATTATATTATATACAGTAAATCCTTGCCACAAAAAGAAAAGTTACAGTCATTAATCTGTCTTAATATTTTAGATGTGCGATAAAACAGATTATTTCAATTAATATTTAAAAACGTATTGCAATATATTTGACCTTTTGACCTTTAATTATATTAACACAAGGATAAAGAAAAAACATTGCCATGGTTTGTTTTCCATAAACTTAAGCTTGTATTAACTTCACCTTAAGGCAAATTTCTCAGTTTCACCAAAGTCAAAAGCAAAGCATAACAGTGGAGGTCTAAGGTAAGCCAAACCCGACGCTTTTCATTCCTTTTCTAAATTATATCCAAAGATGAAGGCTGAGCCTTGCAGCGCTCTCTTTTCTTTACCTCCAGGCTTGTGATTGACAGCACCATGTGCTGCCCTCCTAGCCGCTGCAGTTCACAGCCTCTGTCAGGGGGGTGGCAAACACACAAGCCAGAGAGCGGCTGGCTGCCCCTCAGCAGCAGGGGGCAGAGTTAGGGTGGTATGGTGGGGTGCACAGGGTCATGGGCTCTGCTGGCACTGGAGCATTGTTGTCAGGTGGACTGCGTCGTACCGTATTCAAAAAGAGACCAGCCTTTCATCCAGTGTGTCCGCAGAGCTTACCTTTTCTTCCGCGGCTGGCTCTGGCTGGTGGGCGCTCTCAGAGCGCTGTACTGCACCTGTAAAAACAAACAGGAGTTTGGTCAGAGGCAGGTAATCCGAGCTCAGTGGAGCGCACGGTAATGGCTCCCCTGAGGAGAGCTGGTGCAGGGGAAAGCGAGGCGGGCTTGCCTGTAATGAATCATTTTTTAAACACAGGAGCAGAGGGGATTAATCACAGGGAGGAAGGATTTGAAGAGTCAAGGGTTCCCTACCAGTGTACGCCCCCCTCATTCTGCACCACCATCACAATATTAGAAACAGACATCAACTGTTAAGATGACCTGCCAGGCCAGTGAGGGAGTTGCAAACTGCATAATCACTCAGTGTAAGTTATGTCCCCTAAAGAAAACTTTGTTAAAGCCTGAGAATAGTATAACATGAGTGCTGTTTAAGTTACCAAACATCGGTTGACGTGTAACTTTCTTCACAGCTTTACAGACCCTTGGTGTGACTTTGATTTCGTCAGTGAAAAACAATACTTTAAATGTGACATTTGCAACTTACAGCCTTGGGTTTTTTTTGCTAGTTACATATGTAGAATTAAGCTCAAGATAGATTTCAATATCCAGTATTTCTTTGATCTACAAATGGATTTACAAAATTAATTTAAATTGTAGAATCGTGTTCTCTTTGACATTCAAAAACTTAGATTCAATTGTCCATTTTTTTTTCTCCCCAAAACTGCCATCATAATCTAAAGAGGACTGATCATAGGGTAAACTGAAAGGAAGAAGAGCTGGAATTTGAAAACTTGCTTTTGAAGCATGCTTGCTAAGCTCAAACAATACGGTGAATCTGTTGAATAAAGGTAAGAACTCTATGCTAATTAGCTGGTCTCCATTATTAGAATGGGAGATGGAATGTGGGAACAAAGTGACTGCCTCCTGCATCAGAACATGAAACTGTCCTCAGAACTGACAGATGCTTCTTATTTCAGGACAGACAGTGTTGTCAGAAGTCCCCGTTTGAGGCAGACTTTGTAGATGTGCACAGGCACTAATTGCCAAGTCACATTTGCAAGAAAGACAGGAGTCAATTTTCAGCCTTTGTGGTGTTTTTGTGTCCACACCTATCTGAGGATTGAAGTTCTAAGTCAACAAAAACAAAATATGTGGTCTATTGTTTTGGGTCTCCTGTGTATATGATGTTAAGGTTATTTTTCCCTGTACATAATGAAACGTACTTATGATGAATCTTAAGGGTGTTTTGTTTTTTATGATTGGAGCTATTTTCAAGATGTAGTTTCTCTTTTAAACCAGGCTAAAAAGTATTGTTTCCATGGGATTAGAAAGTGAGTCATTTTCAAAGCTCAAACATTGTATCCCAATGGGGAAGAAGACATACAAAGGATTCTGAATCAAAAATGTATTCACCACCTTGTTTTGCCAACTCAGTCAGCCAAATCTCAAACAACACAGGCTCCCTCCAACATCACAGAGAAGTCAGGAATGGCTTGCTGCAGGAGGACATCAAGGGTGCAGCAGAAAAACAGACTGGGGTGAGAGTGTCTTTCCAGATCCAGACTGTCAGGATTTCTCACTGAATTCCGTCTGGCGAGTTACCTGGGAGATGAAGGCACTGTGTGGCACTTCATTTCCTGGCCGAGCAAAATTCTCAGTCAGAGAACGGCGAGCACCCCGCACCACTTACAACACCCTGACAGCTCTCCTCAGCCCTGTGATGTTAATGTAAATGACATATCAGCCATGGCTAATATGTAATCACATATGGCACCCAGCAAGACGATTGGGGCTCACGACTACATTAAATGACTCCACCACCCTGAAGTGACTGAGGCCACATCAGAGTTTCTGTGCTGACACAACAGCCAGAGACGTCAGGAGCCCTCTGCCGGCCCTCGGCCAATCCCAGCTTTAATGTCACAGTGCTTCAATCAGACAGACAAAATTGCTAATAACGGAACGAGGCTGCAGCAATATGGCTGAGGACAGATCTGAGCATCTCCTCAGTCAGGCACTACGGCGACTACATGGTGCTGCACTGAGGAATAATTGGGCCAGGGCTGCTTTAAAGGCGAGAGTCCATTAATAATCAAACAAAGCCAGAGGATATATTTCTGCAACACTTGGGAATTCTGGTACAGCAAATAATGCAGACATCTTCAGGGAATTCCCTCCCTATCTGTATGTAAAATTGGACCCTTACCTTTTGAACATCAGAAGGCACCCTCTTGAGGAAATCCAGTATTTCATTATTGTCAATAGTATATGGGTTGCGAAGCTTCTTGGTAAATTTGTTAACGCCTGTGAAAACAAGAACACATTAATAAATAAAGGTGTCATACCGACGAGCATATTTTTACACAGTTTTCTAGTGTAAACAAAAATAATAATAATAATAATAAAAAGAGTCGTGTAACCATATCTATGTACAGTATAGAGTTCCCACAAGTGTATCACTAAGTGCATTATATGATGATGTTTCAATGGATCCCTTTTAGTCAAACTTAATTCAAGCCGGACCAATACAGTGGACGCAAGTATGGATAAAGCAACACTTAGTCAATTAAAGCAGATGAATAATGATAACTCTACTAAAAAAACAGGCACATTCACACACACATTCTTGACAACTTTTCCTCACTTTTCTTTGCTTCAATCTGATCATTTCTAGCACATCTATATTTACTTTGCACATGGCTGCATACCACAGAGAAAAAATATCTCTGGGGTCTGGTAATGGGACAATTATATTCACAGCTTGGTACTGCTTGTACCTCAACATGCAGACAAAGAACCTAAGGACTTAAATATTTGCAAGCAACTTGAAAGGCTTGCCTTGCAACCACAGAGATGGGGGTTAACTGGGGAGGCAGAGGAGTGTCTCAGACTGTGTGTTTTTGTTTGATATGATGGTTTTTTGGTATTGATTGTGTTGAAGGCAGTGTGGAAGTACAGTGGTTGTGGGCTTACAGCTGGAGGAGGAGAGCCTGTTAAGGGCAGCATATCTCCCTGACCACTGAGATGACTGTCTATTCTGTATGACTACAGCAGATAATGAGAGGCTAGACCAGGAGCCTACAGACTGCCCAAGGACATCATGTATTATATACAGCTTTCTACTCTACCTCTGCTTTGTTTTCACACAAACCCTAGGCCTCGCCTCTGCTGGGCTCTGCTACATCAGCCCACACTGAGCAGAGCAAACCACTGCAGCTGTCTGATCTCTGTGCATCTGCAGAGGTGTAGGGATGGCAGAGTTCTTACATTACTGTACTTCGTTAAATCATGGATTTCCAGTTAGGAAGATTTAATCACTGCTAGGAACTGGCTCTTTTTAAGAGTTTTGTTTTGCAACAGTGGCATGGGTGTTGATTGTTATACAATTTGTTAGGATGTTTTGGTCATAGTAATGAAGGATCTAGCAACAAGCAGATAGTGGGAGTTTGTTAGCTTCTGGAATTCACCCAATACACTATTAGTTATACTAACATGTTTTGTTTTTTGTTCATTTACAATTTTATAAATTAAATTGTGATTTTGTAGATGTTGAACTTACCCCATATCAGCACAATGTATCGCAGTGGGATCAGATATAATAGCGTTGTTGCCACAAACAGCACCAAGCAGGACAGGCAGGACAAGAATGGGACAGACCAGTTGAATATGCTGGAAAATAATAATTGTGTCAGATTAATATGAAGTTCTATACAAAATGATTCATTTCAAATAGAAACCCTTTGTAAGACAAATATAAAGTGATCAAATTACTTCTTGATTCGCTCTCCGATGTTTGCAATTTCTTCCAAAACGTTCTGAACGACCAGTACTACTTCCTGCACCATATGTATCTTATCCATCAAACCCTTTTTTCCAGATTCCTAAAAAAGAAACAAAAAAACACACAAACACTGATGAGGTACACTGTATGTCAATTGTTGGGCAGGGTAGACAAAGACCAGTTTATCTCTGCTGTGCTATTATGTGTGATTTATCTATTGAATAGCCCGTAATGAGCAAACACTGTACATCTTCAGACTATGTTTTTTAAGATGAGACAGACTCAGTGCTCAGAAGCTGTTATGTGGATGGCTGAGAGATTTCAGCTTTTGTCCACCACATACAATAGAGCTGTTGCACAAGTGCAGCACAATCAAGACTCTCTGGTAGATGAAAAGTACACAAAATGGCCATCCGCAATCAGGCAGACTAGACGACCTAGACAAGAAGTGCAGGGGCCTCACAACTTAGGAAAGATTCCATTCCAGTCGCCTGCACAGGACAAGTTTGAACATGTTTTTACAAATCTGTCACGCCAGGCTCACTAACCTATCCTAACACTTTCTCTTCAAGAGAAAACACTTCACCCCGCTTAGGACACCAGGTGGATGTTCACTCTTTCACTCGTATCATTCTTGTCACAACTAACACAGCACATAAAGTATTATTTGCTTTTAATGCACTGATATAATAATGACTCTGGCAAAGCAATAAGTCAACATGTGAGGGGGGGTTGGAGGGCTTGTCTCAAAATGAAATAAATGTGATCACATCAAGGCTGGAAATAACAACGAGCGTGAAGCCTTCCAGAGACAGAGGAGTGACTAGAGATAACACAAGTAACACAAGCTAAAGAGGGCTGAGAAGCCTCACATCAAAAGGAGGAAATAATGACAGGAATGATGACAGAGGGCGGGGAGGGGAAGAGTGAGAGGGAGAAGGGGAATGAGAGTGCTGGGGGAGGGCACACTGATGGACCCTAACAGGAGGCTTGAGGATGTCTATATGTTTATGTTACAAGTCAGCCACAGCCGCAGCCTGTGTGCATTGACAGGGTCCAGACAGAATGCCTTTATCAGAGCTTCATGAGGCAGCCCCTGGGAACACACTGTCTGCCAGCACACAGAGACTCCCCACTGTCAGGCCCACTCTTCTCCACGAAAGGCGCAGGAAGAGAGCAATTCCCACACTAGCAGAGCCTCCCCCACTGGGCTCGGATCTGGACAGACACTGGCGGCTCAGCACTGTCCAAAAAAGGAGAAACTATCACAAATATGCTTTCTTTGAGATTAACATCTCATGGTCTCATCATGGGGAAAGAGGACTATTTGTGTTTGTGCATCATCTTACTCCACTCCAGTGCATTAGAAGGGCTGAGCAAACCTTAATGTATGTATTTTACTCCACATCAGGTGTTAACTGGGCTCTTTATCCTACGTTTATTTTGAAAGCGGGGACCACTGTTAGAGTCTGCTAGAAGCTATTACAATCCGTGTCAGTGAGCTCCTGATGGACCCAGAGAGACATTCATTCACTCGATGTAAAACCTCATCAGTTAGGCTCACATTCCTTTTCATATTTTAATTTAAACTTGTTTAAGCGACCCAATTACATGGTTTAGAATTCAAATATAATAAGCGATATGAAGCATTATTTAACTGCAGTGGATACACATGCAAGGTAAATTCAGCCAGAAATATCTATGGCGGGGGAAAAAAAGGAAGAAACCATATTGGCTTTCATTTCTAAAAGGAAAAACAGACAAATACATGTACTCTGAAGTATGCATCAAGAGGCAAAGCTCTCATGACCATCATTATTCATGTGCTTTGAGATTCTTGAAATCCACCATCTCCTTAGCGACCAAAACTGAAGTCCTTCCTACATTAATCACTTGATGATATTCTTTATCTTTGTTCATTTCTCTTTTCAGCATGTACACGAGTGCAGAGAAAACAAAAATAAATAAAAGATCTCCTTCTGAAATGGAAAAGGATGGGTAAACTGGGGATGGACTAAATGAATCCTAAATGTCTACTGATTAGAAAACCTGTGTGAAATCATATTCTCATTTCAGGTAAAATTGTAAAAGCTTCCTTTTAAGGGGCAGTAATGGAGAACCAATTTGATCTCCTGCACAAAGGTAAACATACTCTCACAGACATGTGGGGTGTTATCAAAGGCTGGAAAAAGCTCATTTAGCATCATTTTAATTAGAATAAACGGTGCCAAATTTGAATTGTCAGACTGAATATTTTTCCAGTGACTTTTTTTTTTTTTTTGACAAAGATAAGAATTGCATCTAAATGAAAAACACCTGTGTTCCTGGCAAATTATCTCACATAGAGCTAAAATAAACTAACAAACAATTTGCTTGGATAAAACACGGAAAAGCTCTCGGAGGCTTTAATGTGTTGTTGGGTTCATGTAGCTCTCATCATGCATGCCACAGATCATGACATGGGCAGTCTGTCTGACTGGTGTGCTCAAGGAGACCCAGTGGTAACTGTGGACTATCGGGTGAGAGATGTAGTAGCCCCCCAGCCCAGTCTAGCACCCCCATAACCACCTCTTCACCCTCCCCCATCTCCCCTGGGCTAGGCTCTGGGAGCACGTCAACCCCAGACCAGCAATGCTAGCCGGGGGGCAATAAAAGGGCTGTTTCATCTTCCCTGTTCATTTCTATTGGAGATCTATGGACTTGTTTTGCCTCTCTGTTTCTTTATGTTATGATTAAATATTGTCTATCTGCACAATTGATACCTAAGGCCAAAGGGAAGTCACTTTGCCCACACATAATTTGTAAGCTGTCTCTTTCCCTGAGGACAGATTTGTTCACAGGCAGAGAATCTGTTCTGTATTATCCTGCTGTAACACTGTCTTGCTTTTCGTCTCTCTTTAACGTCATGCCTTCACATTCTTGCTTCTCTGTCTGAGGTTTAAATATTTCCTTCCTCAAGGGGGGAAAAGGGGGGATAAAAACATATTTGAGTGGTAATCATAACCTTCTCAGAGGGAAAAGCCTTTATTCACATGTTACAGGAAAAACTAGGGGGAAAAAAAGCAAAGGCTTTGAAGTCATCAAATTTAACACTGATCACTCTTTAACCCCAAATATTTTTAAAGAAGACTTTGATAGGAGGTGTAAAGCTACACTGCTTGATCTAACTGCAAGATATCACATTCAAGTGACGGCGAGACCATAACAAGACTTTCAAATAAGCCACTTTAAATTAAAGCTGACAGCTTAAAACAAACATGGGTGACTGCTTAATTAGTAAATGAAAGGAGATATTTCATTTCCTCTGAGTGTGAAAGGGCTTAGGGAAGCTCATGGAAAACCTTTCAAAAAGCTTTAAAGAGGCGAAGGCTGAGTTCAGAAACACATGCAACGTATTGAGAGAATCTTAAACCAAACTAAAGACACTGCTATTTTTTTTACTAGAAAAGTAAACATTCCTCTATTATATATTGAGGATTTAAGGTAAAGACAAATGTAATAACCATTCTATGTAGCAATGATATTAAATTCAGTGCATAAACATAATCCTGCCTGACTCAATATTCATAAATACACTGAATCTTCTGTATCGCCGTTGTTTGTTTAGGCACCAGTTTGCCTGTTCCTAGCAGTGATAGCAAGTGTGGCTTCCCACTTTGTGTGTGCAGACATATCATGCGAGTTTCATCTGTGAATTAGCCCATCCTTTCAGACAGGATTTGGTGGATGTGCCTGTGTTTTTAAAAGAATCTGGCTTTTTTTGTAGCCCCAGGTCATCACAACAGAATATATTGAGCGCATTATGGATATGAATCCTGGGCCTAGACACGCAGCACAAGGGTCATTGCTTGGAGGCTTTGGGTTAGCTCCACACTTCATTGCCATAAAGCAATAATACACATCCCTGTTAACTCTTCCTTCTTTACAGAAAACAGTGGGATGAGTGTAATTGAATATTATGTGCTGTGGGGAAGTATAATTTTCAGGCTACTTAAAGATTTCCTGTTGTTTTGTTTTTCAAGAGACACTAGAGAGATATATTAATAAACATCATCATTTATGATGTCTCAAACGAACAAGTAAAAATGACTGATAAGCTTTGGGGCAAAGTACAAGTTTCCTGCTGTGTTTTGTACTTTGTTCATTTGTTCTGGTGGTAACAGGTCATTCTCATCACAACCACATTTAGACAATAAGGATAAAAAAAAATCTAGTGATTGTATTCCCACTAGCTGTGCAAAATCTAATTGACGGTGCTGTTTAAATTTGATTTATAGATTTTCAAAGGGCTGCAGTATCTCAGTGGAGTACATCTGTAGAGTGACACTGAATACCCAGAGGAACGGAATAAAGAGCTACATGTTACAACTGTTTCATAGATGTTGCCCTCATTTGGGATGCATGAAAAATATTTCTATTCTTAGTTAGAAAAGAGCCTCTGAGAAGTAGCTGTCATTGTGACTATGCTAAAATACCGACAAAAACCAGTATGGCTCTTTGGTAAAATATTTTCTATTTTCTAAGAGCTATTTGCTGAACCCACCAGAAGCAATGCAGACAATGTTATTTGTTTGATTTAACCTTGGTTATTCAGAAAGAAATATTAGCAGGGTTCTAACTTCTGGGTTCTAAAGTCTGAAAAATATATTTTTTTTTACAAGACACTGAGTAAACGGTCATTGTTTATAGTAAATCTTAAAATATATCTTTATATTCATAGCGATAACTTTCCATCAAAACATATTATCCCATAAAATGTTATAAAGAGACAAGATAAAATACCTTCTCGTCTTCCTCTTCGTCGTCACCCATGCTCATGTTCACCTAAGAGAAAATAAAGGGTAGTGGGTGATTTCAAACGAACGGGACATGTGGGCACTGGAGCATTTTTAACAAACACCTAGTAATGAAATTTTCTTTGAGTACATTCACCCCTATTGGGAGAGGCTTGTTTCCATAGAGACTGCATCACAGGGGTGACCTCACACAAAAGGAGAGGTGAAAGAGGGCCTTCCTCACAAGAGCACTGTCACACCAAAGCAATCTCATTTCTCCACAACATAAGCACACAGAAAAACAGAAAGAGGAAAAAAAAAAACACATTTAATTTGGATGCTGTTGCCTAGATCACTTTATATCAAGTCATCCCTGACCCCAATGTGGTGCACACTGTGACATTGCCTGGGAACAGAGCTGTGTCATTGCCGGCCAGAGGGTCACAGAGGGGTGGCAGAGTCTCCACACTGGATATGAGGGTGAGCCTGGGCTTTAACATTGCCTAGGGACGGCATCTTTGCCAGCAGCCATAAACACAATCACCGGGCCGGGTATGTTGCTTTGGGGAGGGTGTGTGAGCAGGCCAGGCCCCTGGCTGGCCGGTGAGAAGGCTTACAACACAGTGAAATTGGGGGGCAGTCAGAAGTGTGAACAGCATTAACCTTCACAGACATGTGTAGGGCAAACATAATTTCCATAACAGTAGATAGAGATAGTGGTATGTTGTGGGGAGAACTATAGTCCTGCATTTACAGATGTGGTGAGACTATATCAACAGACTATAGGCTATACATACATTTACACTGATTTAATTTTAGTGGCTTCTTACTGCTTGGTGTTTTATTGGGCCTCTGGAGCCAGTGTAGAAACTAGTTTAAATAGCTATAAAACATGTGGAATGCTGCTACAACTGACTGTACTGCGAGGTGCATTTTATAGAACAGCTCCTGTATTATACAGTATACATTCATGTGTAGGAGTTGTTAACTGACATTAGTGTAAAACTGCAATTTACCCAATGTGTGCCCAAAGGATTTTATTCCATCAGGGTGTGACCAGAGCTGGGTTACCATATAGATTGAATTTGCACTGTAACAGCATGCATCTACAGATGTGTATGGATGAATACTGAGTTCTGAGTCCTTGTCACTCACTAGGTCCTGGTTGGAGCTGGCCTTCCCTGTAGTGAGCTGGAAGTAGTGCCATCCAATGAGCAGAAGCAGGAAGAGGGGCAGCATGAAGAGCTCCCAGTGCCACACCGTCACAAGGAAGATCTGAGAAGACAGGACATGACAGTATAACGCAAAGCCCATCACACTATAGCAGGGACCCAGCTTTCAAATCTCAGCAAGCCTGCTCCCCAAACAAAATATATAATGGATTTAACCACATCCTAAATCTCATGAAAAGCACTACAGACTGTAAAGCCTCTGAGATTTACAGCCGATGGCAACAGATTTTACTCTTAGTGGTTTGAAAGTAGCAGACATTCAGGGACAACTTTTAATATCTTGAAATCCTATTTATATACACCAATAACACTGTGCTGGCAGAGTGCCTTACTGCAGAACAGAAAGTATGACATGGATAGGCATGGTATGTTGTCTTTTAACTAGCACATCAAATCCTCTTAGATTCGGAGGCAGCGAGGCTCTCTCTCTGACGAAGCGCATATGGCAACTGGAGAAGCATTTGCAACATTTACCCCCTCCGTGGCGATGATACTGAGAAAAGCCAAGACCCCTGGTAGAAATAAGATGGATCACACTGAATGAGTAATCCCTCATAATTCTGTAAAGGAGTGGTGCTAAGCACGTTGCACAACACCCACTGCATTTCACAGCAGAGCACTAATTGGACGGCTGCATTTAAACCCATTTAGTGACAGCCTAATGAGTCTGTCTCCAACTGAAATTATCAGGAATGTGTGAGGAGGATCACACCAGCAGGTTGACAGGGATGAAATAAAAATGTCCCCCACAGCAAGTTGAATCTTAAAATCTATTATAGTGTGATTATGCGCCAATATACCCAACATATGGTCCACTTTTACTTTCACAATGTAAATTTAAAATCTTCCTCATACTTTAAGACATTTTCTCTAATGAGTGCATACTTTCCAACAGTTAGATTCATCCTACTTTTTCAATAAGTTTATTTCAAAACATTGTGTATAACTGCTAAGCTGAACCCACACGATGGTAGCACTGTGCAGTCTAGGCTCAAAGAGCTGGAGGCTGCTTAGAGTATGAACAATATGTTCGAGTTATGCCTGAGACAGGATGCGAAGCACTGAGGCCTTCAGGCCTCAATAGCAGGCCTGTAAACAGCAGACTGCTCCTGTCATAGCAACCATACAGAGTCCGTGCATGTTGCTCTGGGGGCCAGTGTACCTACTGCCACACCAGGCCTAGGTTCAAACGGCCACCAGGGAAACGTGAACCGTGAGTAATGCAGACAACACGGTGGCCCAACGGCCCTAGGCTTCACCACTGCACTATTATCCCTCAATATAACCTGGGAGTTGGAGCGTCATGCAGAAACACAGCGGGATGACCAAGAAAAAAAGAAACGAACAATATGTTATTGTTATTTTTTATAAGGGTCCATTAGAATTACGTATACAGCAACAAACTAGGTAGCTGGTGGGGGACAAAAAAAGGTAAACAATGAATATGCATGATGTGCAGAGGTAGCTGCAGTACATCTCCTCTCTGTTATGAATAACCTACGTCATGTGTTGTCACCTCAGTTCCCATGAGGCGATTCTAAAGCGACGCTCCCCTCACCCCAGAGGAATTCAGCTGGCTGGTGGACAGGTAGCTTGTCATATTCCCAGTATTCTCATAAAAAAGGAAAAAGAAAAGAGGGGAAAATGTGCCTGGAAACTGACACGAGCCCAGCAGGAATGTTGAACCTCCTTGCCCTCCCTGCAAAAGCTGCTACATTAACCACTAAAGTCTAATTGCTTGGTCTCTGTCTTCCTGTGCAAGTCAACAGAGGGAGCCAATTCATTTCCACCCAGGGAGCCGGCAGAGAGAATCTGTCACAGGTATTCATAATCGCCCACTAATGCAAATTTCTGCTCACCGCGTTCTGGCTCAGTGGACAAGATAAAAGCCTACAGAAATACAATGCCTTGTGTCTAAACTGAGTGCTTAAATGAGGGTATAAACCAAAACTGTCAGAGATATCTCCTAAATTCCTCCCTCATGGTATGTCAGCCCATGTGTTCAGGATTTACATGCTTTTTTAACACTAATAAAAACGATGGAGGGAAACATCTGGGAAAACCTCTCAGATTCCTTCACTCAGGTGAACAGACTGAGACTTTGCCGTCAGATATCCCACAGTAATGAGCAGAGGCAGGACTATACCTTCCCCTTGTCTCCTCACATTCTCCAGAGTTTCTGTGAAATGGAGACAGAACTAATTCCCCACTAAGTGGTTTATGTTTTATTAGCAAGCAGCTGAGTGATTAAAGGACACATTGGACAAAGTGCAACCTTTCAGGTCTAAGTGTAAATTTGTGTAAAAAATAATCCGCATTTTAATTGCTGTCAGAGATGGGCTCCATTTCAGTCTTAAGGGCCTGACTGCGTATTTATTCATCCGTCAACAAATTACGTGTGACAAGTAAAACCTTGAACTTTTTCAACACGACAATGCTAATATGTTGCACGAGCGGTAAAACAGTAATTTATTTAACCAGAAAGGACACGAAGCAACAAACAAAAGCAAGGGAGGTGATAATTAATGATATACCTTAGCATTTAGGTTTACACACAGCAGAATTGGATAACGAACGACTTGTAATTGAACAAGTGTTAGTATGTATGTCTGGGAGGAGTGTCTCTAATGTAGGAAACCTCCCTTGACAAACACCATTTAGCTGAAAAATGTCTGTATGATTATGCACAGGGTGCCTAGGGAGAAAAAAAGAATGAATTAATAAAACTATTAGCACACGGTGGAGTAGATGATGGAGATGCACTCTCCTTAGCCACCTGTAAGCGCTTTGAGAAGGGGGCAACCCTGGGCAGAGCAATTCTGCCAGCAGGGTTAAGAACAGCCTGACAGATTTGTTTTATAGTGCCATTAATATGATTCCACTAAATGCATTCTGCGCCTTCTCATGCAGATCCCCTGGCCAGCAGATTCCAGCACCTAATAATAAAGCACTCAGCGATTAAAAGTGTGAATAAAATAACTTAAAGCTGAGCAAGCATGGCAGCTCCCACCACCCACACTCTCCCAGGAGAGGGAGAAGAGATGGTAGCAGGAACAAAGGGACAAAGACACCCTCTATAAGAGTTTCTACCATCCTGTAAATTGATTAACAGTGGAGGGGGTGGCCCAGTCTACCAACCCAAACTACTGACTGGCAGACATACCACCAGACAGCGAGGATGCCAAATGTTCTCCTTATACACTACAGCAGACAACAGGCTATAAATATAGGCCTAACATCAGTATAAAACACATCATACTGTTGATGAGCCAAACTAATGTAATATCATAGCACAAGGGGCCATACAATATCATTGGCTGTAAAAACAACTAACTAAAAGTACCCTTTCCATTTTTTTTTTTTTTTAAAGATGGTAGATTTCAAACATTCCCTTATTTTTAAGACTATGTACCGTCCAAAAACACGGGCGATTTAATCTTGGCTGTATCTTCACTACTCTCTTCAGTTGCACTCCACTTGGAAAGCTAAACAAAGCGAGAGGAGTGCCAGCCAGCATTATGAGGGTCAGTCATGGGGGCTGTGGACGGATGCCAGATTACGTGAACATATACTGAAAGAGTTTAACAAGGCTGACTACAGGCTGCGGGGTTTGTGTATGTATGTCTCTGGCTGTGTGTGGCTGTGTGTGTGTGTGCATGTTTTTTTGCCATGTTTGAGAGACAGAAAAAGGACTGAAACCATGCATGTGACAAATGCCAGTATGGAATATAGAAAAATTAAGAAAATAAATGAAAATGATCATTTAAAATAAATAATAGGAACCTCTATAAAGCCTCTTGAATAGTCTTTACTCTGAGAGAGATATTCTTTTTCTGGGTGAAATCAAGGGCAGTAAAATTAATCTGCATTACTTCCTCAATTAAAATACAAAAAAAAAAAAAAGAGATTAATATTGAATCAAAGGCACAAGTAGCAGCTCAGCTCACGCAGGTCTTTTTTATTTCAGCTGGGCTGAAACAGAGTCTGGCTGAGGGCTTATGTTGGGGACAGGAGCGGCAGGCTTTAAAGTAGCTGTAAACGCAGAGCAATGAGACATGTAATTTGTGTTGAGCTTGGGCCAGTGTGGGGACAGGCTTTCAGGGGGTGTCGGAGGCAGAGGAAGCACAGATAAGATTTCTCTTCGGGGTAGGTAGAGTGTGTGGGCAGCTATGGTGCTCTGAGCTAACGCTGAATAAATATTTCACATATGCTCAGCTCAAGTCTTATCGACTGGGGAGAGAGAGAGAGAGAGAGAGAGAGAGAGAGAGAGGCTATATTCAAGTGAGAGCAATAAAATTGGGTATATCATGTCCCTCTTCAGTGGGGCGAAATCGGTTGTCACATTTTTGGAGTGTGATGCAATTTACAATTCAATTTTCAAATCAAATACAGATATAGCCACATTTATATTTACTAAACTTAAGTTACTCAAGTTAAATGGTTAGTTTTCCACTTTGTTTACAAGTACTACTATTATTTTGCTTTATGATAGCTAATAAAAAAGCAACACTTTAGTACACACTTCAGTAATAAACCCAAGGCACAAAAAATTATATTTCTTGCGTAAATTAAAAAAATAAAAATAAACCATTAAAATAGTGTTTTATAGTCTAAACGCAGTTAATTTAATGTTTACAAATTGTTATAATTTGTAAACAAAATGTTAGCCATACCAAAATGACAAGCAAATGCCACAGCATGTAAGGATGCCTGCACAGTACAGTGCAATAGTGATAGCAGCTCTTTATCAAAGCACTGAGGAAGAGCAGCCGTGCAAGGCAAAGCATTAGCATTTGCTCACGGGGCCAGCTCTGGCCGTTGTCTCCCCGACTGTCTGACACATGCCAGGGCCAGAGTAGCACCAGTATGAGGCTGGAGCGGGGCAGTCAGCGGGGGCCCCGTGGTGCCTGTCAGTGGTGGCTACACTGACCCCGCACTTCGGCACTGGCCACTAGTGTTTAATCCGTGTCGGGAGCGTTAACACTGAACGACCTCCTGGGTGACAGATCTGCCACGCGAGCCTTTTCCCCTGAGGAGCTGGGGAGGGAGTGGCATGGACTCTCTCTCCCTGTCAGCTCAGCTCACACACACGTTAACGCGCCGGGGCCAAGACCGGCCCCAGAACAGCCACGCACAAGGGCGGATAGGTCGCTGCCTCAGCTGCCTGGGGAGAGGTGTCCTCTGTGACTACGAAGGTGGCAAGTATGTTAAAGGCAGTCATTATGATATGGCACACACAATGGGGTTAAACACAGAGCATACTTCATCTAAGCTGAAAACATGCATAATATAAAACATCAGTACAAGTACAAGTACAACACATGCAGAGATAAAGCGTGCCTTCTCAGGAATTAACACATACATTCAGTCAGCTGATAGAAATCTGAAGACACTTAAAAGTTACTTCATGCAGTTCAAAACTGATAAATAATCATGATGAATTTGGTTAGATCAAATTGTATAAAATGTGTTCTAAAAACTGAAATCCATGTCCAAAAAAATATAAAAAGTGGATCAATTTCACATCTCTAATGAAGTGAATATTAGCAGAGAAAGCTTATTAATCCGCCACTAATAAGGGGACATGTTTCAAGGTTACACGTTACAGTCAGCCAACCTCAAGAGCTGTCTAGTGACACATAGCCATTCAGGGCAGCTAAATAATTATACAATGTTAAATCAGGAGGCACTGCTGAGCAGTTTGCAAGTAGTCATAGCTTATCCTTTAATAATTAATAGATTTCAGACTCAAAACCATCACTGCCATCATTTTTTTCCCCCTCCTGGACACATCAGTGCGCAGTCTGTGAGAACTCCCAGAGCCATGGAAATGGAGAGTGTAACCCCAATGAGACTAAAGAAACCCACTCCTTTAAGGCCTCCAACTTTTTCCAACAGAGACAAAACAGATGCAAAGCAGAAACAAGGAGACAATTCACAGGCGTGCACAGTCCTCTAGCTGTTCACACAAAAGCTCGGCCACACTGCAATGCAGTAAACCACAAATAGGCAGATCCAAGACTCACAAAGCATCTCATTTTCAGGGACAGTGTTAACAAGAACAATTATGACAACTCTGATTATGGCTTTGATCTCGGCCGGGCTGGTGTTCTGGTTAATGGCCCAGACTGCTGTGGCTCTACACAGGTGGTCTCCCGAGACCTCTGGAGCCAGATCTGACCCTGCCTGCCCTCATCTGGGGAGACGATGATTCTATCAGCCCCCAAAAAAAGTCCCCGTTGCAGCTGCCAAGTGTGTTTACAGCTGCACCGCATCAAACATTCATCAAATGCCATCTTTACAGTGTGTGATGTGAGGCAATCAGCATTTCACAGGCTGTCAAATGATGTCTAAAGCGGTTACTACCTGGCAGTGTCAAAAAGAAAACGGTTCAAATACTCACATAAGGTATACAGGTTTCTTTCTAGTCTAACTCCTGACAGATGAGGTACCTCATATGTTAAAATATTAATTCTACTTAAATACTTAAAGCGGTCTAATGACAGCAAAGCTCAAAATCAGCTTTCAAGTGTAAATGATCCTTTTTTTTTAACTTTCATCCATTTCATCTAAATCAAAATTGTTCTCAACTTTAAACTTCTGAAGCAGATTAATTTGGCTCACTAATACATGCTCTTTTAGCTTTTTTTTTCTCCCTTTTTTTGTGGAAGAAACTTGTGTCTCTTGGTCTAATGCACAGAATGGAGGATTTCACTCCAAGTTGTTCCCACAAATGGCTCCTGTTGGGAAAAGTAACTGATCTCCTCTGCGCCTCCATTCATGTTTCAAGCAGTGCTGTAGCTCCATCTACAGGTCCTGTTCTTGTGTGCAGCAAAGAACTCTGGGTGACCCCTCTGCAGTCACTGCTGATGTATAGCACATTCATCTCGCTCAGTCTTAGTGAAAAGCACATCTAAAGGCCGTTATTTTATGAAGATTTTAGCTGTCACATTCTCTCTCTCTCAGAGAAAGGAACATGCTGTTGTCAAACTCTTGAAAAGCGCAGATCCTAGGCTCATTACTGTAGCATAAACAAGAAGAGAAAAAAAAAATCAAAATTTCTTGTTTATATTTCCATTCACTGATGAAAATGTTTATGAGGATTTGCCAGAACTTTGTATTAATGCGTGAGAAAGATTTTTTTCTTTTTCTTCTTTTTTTTTCTTTTTTTACATTACCTAATTAGAGAGACTATTTTAAAACTGCTACACATTGCTGGAAAATCCAAGGCGACTTCAAACAGTATGGACTCTGCTGATGAGATTGCACAATCAAAACAAGTAACCTTCCTGCACTCGCAAACAGTGACAATACAGCAACTATTTCCATTGCATAGTTTCCTCTCACACAATAACAGTCAGTTGCAGCTTAAAACCAAATAAACCATCAATCTGTAAATGCTAAATGTATATGTTCCTGGATGTGCAGCCACTCATGAGGGAAAAGTTATCTTGATATGAACAAAGAAGAAAAGAAAGAAAAAACTTTATATTATATATATATTTCCCCCATTCCCTTTCACTTGGTTAACATGAACTAGAGCGGTGATCCCTCATGCAAAATTTGAATACCTTACACACCACACACCAACAACCACTTTATAATGCATACATGAATCTACATAAACAGGATACAAATGTAGACTGCATACTGTGTGGAGGTCAGAAAATTGGCCTGTGGGACTGAGTGATATAATGGCTAAGAATTCCTGGTAAAGCACTACGCGAGCATCCCGCAGTCCCAGTAGAAACCACAGCAGCGGTAATGCATTACAGGATGTATATGGTGTAAAAGGGTAGGACTGGTCTGCCTGCTTGATAAATAATGTATTGTAATGTATATTAAAGCTAGACCCACCACTGCAGCGTTTCCTACCGGCATACCCTGAGAAGCCCTGCACTGCCTGCCACTGTGGAAAAGAGCAGACACTAGTGGTATAATTATGCACATCTGAGAGGCAAGCAGAGGCCATCTGTCAATGTCTGAATCAGTTACCTTATTACCACTGCCTAAAGATATAAAGATAGGAGTGGGAGCTGCTTTCATTAAGGCACACGGTGGCATGCTGCTTTAGACAGCTCCAAACACTAACTTAATTGCAAATGATGACTTGGAGGAGGAGGAGTGGCTGTACAGTGGCTAGCCTTGGAGTGGGCTGGGGCACAAGTGTGGATGGTGACGTGCCACTAGGCTTGTAATGACAGTCAGTAAAGACCTTGTTGTTGCCCTCACTGACTGTCAGATGGTAGCGCAAGTTCAGAGTTTTTTCCTGTTACTATCAATTACATGCAATATTAACATGTGATTTGCATGTTTCACTGTGACTGTTACTTGTTGAGAATATAATGAATCATTGAAAACAAGAACTTTTCACTTGTTGAACTCTCAGTCTGCTGATGAGTGGGTGATGAATACACAGTCGCAGATTCACTCTGGTTGGGCAATTCTCACCATGTACCTTTGACACTTCGACACACAGACTATTTGAAGCACACCTCATCACAGACAAAGGCGTACTCTGACTACTCTGTTACTGTCTGCTTTTAAAAATATCAGCCAGTGTGCTGGTGTTAGGGTCTAAAAACAGAGCAGTTGTTTCAAATAAAAGCAGCTACATCAATGTCAAAAGAATTACCATGTTCACTGCTGACAAAAATAAGAATGGGAAGCACTACACTACAGTCACAATGAAGATCTTGATGAAAATAGTGAGTGTGTGAGTCTTTTCCCTTCATTCTAAGATCTCTATTTGTGTGCTGGACTCCTAAACAGCAGGTGGAGTAGAGGTGGAAATGAAAGATTAGAGTGTGCCACCACACACTCCCATCGCCTGCGGAGGATCTAATTATAGGTGGAAGAAGATGGCCCCATCCCGCTGACCTGTCACCTGTCAGCCTGCCTATCCTCCTGCTCTCCTGCCCATATCCCTGCCTCCAAGTCTCTCGCTATCTTCCTTCGTAGACCACACTCTTACTTAACTGTCTTCCTCTTTCTGTGCTTCAACTTTCTTTCCCAGATAGTACCCTGCCTCCCACTCTATCCTTATACAATCGCCTGCATTGTTCTCCGTCTTCCTGTCTGTGTGTCTGCCTGCCTGTCTGTGTGCCTTGCTGTTCTAAAGGCTGTGATACACTGAGCCTGGCCACTGCCTGGGGGGATTTGCACCTCAGGATCAGTGAGAAGGGCTTATAGAATACACCAGGTATGAATTGCATGTCATTCTGAGACAGAGCAGACAGAAGAAAGGCGGTGAAAGGAGAGTTCTTCACACACCCTGTCTGTGACCGCTTCCTCACCCTGACATGGCGCTGGCAGGGCTTTCATGGCAAGTGTACACTCTTAATCATGACATTACATGTGCTGTACTGAGGGGGATTCACAGGGTGATTTAAGATTATTTAAGCTTAGGACCTTAGATCACATACCCTCATTAAAAACAGCTAAACAGAGACATTTAAACAAGGTTCAAATCTTGGAGGCAGACTGTCACTCCTCCACCCAAGGAAGCTGAGACTGTGATCCTCCTTACACCGTCCCCCGGGTTAGGAGGCTTTCCTAAGAAGTCAGATGTACAATCGCCCAAACCCCACCCCTTCAAATACACTCTAATGTCATCAGAACTGAAGGAAAGCCAAGTGGGGTTTGATTTAAAGGATAAAGCACATCCATCACATACGCAAGGGATAAAAACAGAAGGCAGCCATTGTTTTTCATGGGAAAAAGACTAGCAGAGAGAGAAAATGGCTAAACCAAAGATTCTACTCAACATCTAATTCACATAAAATGAAAGAGTTAAAACTGGGCCGCAGTGAAATGGGACAAAACTTGTTCGCCCCAAGGCTTAAACAGAGTTCATTAACGTGAGGCAATGACTTACCAGAAAGGCTATTAGACTCCGTTGCGTGCTCTCCCATTGAAAACAGCTTTTAATGTACTGTAACGTGCACAGAACGGCTGTGCTGATTTTTCGAACCCGATATATATTCCGGGCAAGAACCTAATAGGAAATAATTGGAACAAAACACCGGTTAGTATCATTTGAAACTTGACATAATGTTTATGACTTTGCAATGAGGTTGAATCAGCTTTACAATCCCTTATTTGCTACCTTTAAAGTTAGATGTTTAAAGGCCAATTAAACAAATTACTTTGACTACGTCCTACATAAAAATGTCAATAAAGTTAACCTTTTTGTTGAACTTCAGGTTTTCCTCCATTAATTTAGTCTCCTTCGGTTGGAAGGTTCTGATACCAGCTCTGACCTGGGACAAACAAAGAAAAAAAAACAACCACAACATTTAACTACTTTTTGACTTTGACAACCTTTCTAACAAGCTTATTTAGTATGATCATTACCTTGTTATAGATAACCTCTAGCACCAGTGTGATGGTTCCTTTTGATGCACTTTCCAAGTCGTCCTTCTTCAAGAAAAGACATATCTGCTGGCCATTCTGAACCTTTTAGAATATAAACAATAATATAATTAATATTTTGTATTTCAGGTATTAATATGTAAGATTTTTACAAACTAAATCATGTCACAATAATAATGTAGTGGCTGATAAAAAAACTTACAGCCAGTAATGGAATGGCCACTTTCCCCAAAAAGTTTGCAGCCTTGTCTCCATTTTCATCAAGGACAGTCAACTCTAACACATCATGAATGTCCTTAATTGGGCTGCAACACAATATTAATAATATGCAATAACAGATTTACAGATTAAATGACAATAACAGAAGAAGACAGACGTCTGTTTTCCCCCCAGATGTTATATTTACAGTGTAAAGGCTTTGCTCCACTCCGGATTGAGGGTCTTGTACATTGTGTGAGTTTGGAGTTTGCTGTTACCGAGCTCAACAACACATAATGTGTTGCTTTTTCCTGCATTTAACAAAGAAGTGTTATTATTTAATGTAAAGAAAAGGTAATGACGATAAGAATAGAAAACAGAGAAGTGAATTGTTGTTACAGTTGTGCTTACCATTGAGGTCTGTTGCAGGAAGATCATTTGCCTTAATAACCTTGACCTGAAGGAAGCCAACCTCCCCTACACACTTGTGTGAGTTCTTCAAGCTCTGAAAAAAATGTAAATGATTAAAAACATTTTTTTTTGAACATGGTTAATAAATGTACCACAAGAAGTTGCATTCTCACCACCTGGCATGTAACTAAATTAATGTAAATGTTTCTTCATAAAATCCATTACATATTTGTATTTCTTACTTAATTAGCTGACATTAGGAGCATGTCTATACTGTAAATGGCAGTAGGTTGTTATACCAATATTATTCTCTTTTTCCAAAAATATGAACTAAAACAAAAAGTAACGTACAAATTTCTGCATTACTGTGTCTCTCCCATCAGGCTTTTCCAGGGTAGCTGTTTCAATGTCAGAGATGGAGACTCCCCAGCAGGGTCTCAGGGTGACCAGAAACACCAGCCTGCCCTTTCCTGGGTCCAGCACATGAGTGTAGAGCTGCCTCTCATTAAGTGGAAGCCTCAATAGGTCAATCTCAAACCTGACATACAAAAGGAAAATAGTTCCATTGAAACATATAAGGCCAACTAGTTCTGTGAAGCCAGTGTGAGCAAAATTAACACTAACCACCAGGAAATACTCACATCCCCCATGATTCCTCACCCTTCCTCCCTCTTTTTGAGTACACCTCTACCTGCAGAGGTTCCTGGTTATCTTCAAACTGATTGAAGTCAAACTGCTCTCTCCACTGGGGATTGGCCTGAATGCAAAGGTTCTGAGGGCAGTAAAGACACAGATTCAGCACATACAGTAATGTGGAAACACACACACACACTTTGAGGCAATGTCAGGTTTAATGCATTATCAGACTGAGCAGCTCCTGCATGACAGGTGGATTAAGTCTTCCTTCAGTTCAACCAGAACGAGGCAGGAGAGGAGAAAGAGAGGTGTGTTGTGTGTATGTGTCTCTATTTGTGTGTGCTTGTATGTGTACACCTCAGTAGCCACTCTGGGATTGTAAACACTGACAGCTTCCAATTAGAATCAGCTTTGTCCAACAAACAAACAAGCAGAGAGGAAAGCAGAGAGGTTTACAAAGAAATAACACGACAACACAAGACAAGTGCACCATAGAATCATCAGGGGGGAGGCCGACAAGTACAGGTAGATGAACAGGGCATGCTGAGTATGCAAATGAAGGCAATGAAGCCCAGCAACCGAAGCACAGGGAGAAGTGAGTGGCAGCCTTGCCCAGTCTAATGAGCTGCCTCTGCCATGGCCCAGTGAGCCAAGGTGGAGGTGAGTCACTGACAGGCACCTGCTGAGCAAGAGAAGCGAGGAAGTAAGAGAGAGGAGCTGGGAAGAAAGATTTGAAGTATAAAAAGCAGACATAAAGGAAAAAAGCATGACAAACGGCAGTGTAGGAGAAGTGGGAAAAGAGAAAAGACTTTTAAAAAACAAGTCGAACCTTGCTCTTGTACTTCTGATCACCAAGGCGGAAGCGGACGTAAATGTCCCCCTGACCATACTGCGGCAGGTCCAGTCCCTCCACCAAGGTGATACGAAGCACGCCAGTCCACAGCTGGTTTTTCGGCTGATTCTTCTGTGTTTCAGCAGGCCGTTGCGCGGCCTGGTTCTGCTGCACGGCAAAGATACACAGACAGTTACAGTTAGTTTTTTATAAAGCACCATGTGTGGAAGCTCTGTACGCTCCCCTCTGTTTACCTTCTCCTGCCTTAGCCTGGCACCTCATCATGTTCACAGAGTGCATGAAAGTAGGACAAAGGTTTACACTATACAGCACATCTCTGTTGGAGCACATTAGCACATCTCTACTGACAGGCAAGCCACACCACGGAGGCTCCTGGAGAGAGAGGAAGAGAGGGACGTCAGCGAGCAGCCAGATGTCCCTGGCTGTGACAGTCCCACTCATCACTGGCTCCCAGACTGAGTGTGGGGAGGCAGGACACTTGGCATACTGCACCAGAGACAGCAGGCAGCAGTGAGTAATGATGCAAACCACACAGCTCTCTCATCAGCAAATTATGCATACATGCACTATGTATGGCCAGCATACAGAGTTTACTGCATGTTGGCAAATTCATCCAATTTTAATTTAACCAGCAAAATAGCAAATCTTTTCTACTAAAGTGAATCTACAAAACTAACAAAGATGTTGTGTTCAAGAACTGTTTGTAAATCAAGGACAAGCACAGCAAATAATCTACTTCTCCTGCCGTGTGTCACAGAGGGAGTGAGAGAGAGAGGCCTTGATATGTTTCCATGTTAGAGTTCCCGTGAGGCCATGCGGTGATAGGCCGGGGCTGTAAAAACAAACAGCAGAGAGGTTGTGTAGGGCTGACTGTAATTAAAGAGCAGGACCGTAATCTGCTCTCGCCTCTTTGATTGCCTAGCTCCTTCGACTGCCCCGGCGACGCTGCTTCAAACAGCCCCACTACAACTCCCCTGCCACTCCGGCCCCTCCTCTTCACTACGGGGTCACAACCCACATTGCCACCCAATCCGGAGGGGATCAAAGCACATCTCAGGGACCTGAATTAACATGGAATACCACAGGCACAGCCCTATAAATATCAGCCCCTTCAAAAGAAGAGGAACAGAGGGAGTGGAGGAGCGATATAAAACAGGCCTCAGCCAAGTCATCCCAAGTGTTTATCTTGGACACATTTCTATCTCAGCGGCCAATAAAACAATTCCACTTAACTGTAAGTGGCCCCTAAAGAGAATCTATTCCTGGTCCTAAAAGGGCTGTGCGATTGCTTCCATATGGTGGGACAGCATGGGGACAAGCACGATGAGCTCAGACCCAGGTCCATTTGGCTGGTACCTCAGCACTGTCCATCCACAGCTGTGATATTACATCCTAACATCTGGGTTATTGCCCGCTATGCCTGGGAATTATCAGCATTGCCGATCTTAGGCATCCCACACTGGCAACATGCCTCGAACAGCAGAGCCCCCCTCCCGCTTCTCCCATACGCCCCCCTCCTGTTTGAAACACTATCACACAGCAGAGTTTTACTTAGGCACTTGCCATTCCCTGTCTCTGTGGTGGTAACACAGAGGGAGAAAACGATGTTCTGAAAGAGGGGGAGTAGAGCTGTAAGAGCTGGGTATTCAGCACTTCCAGGATAGGTGTTAAATGCAATAAGATATTGTACGTTTGTCAAAAATGAAATGGGAAAAAAATGGCATTGTTACATTGTTAAATTAGCACTATGATTTAGGCAGCAGAACATTGTGAAGAGTCCCATCACACATTTCGGTCTCCCTTTGAGTATCTTTAACCATCTGTAGTGGATAACCTACAATGTGTATGAAAATGGCTTCATTCCTTTGTCATCTAATTTCAAATTGAGATTGTCTACTGGACCATCAAGAGACTGAACAGTGGCAGATGTAGTGACTACATAGGTGTGAATATAAACCTACTCTCTGCAGTCCCAAACAGCAACCCTCCTATTTCACTCTGAATCTAATTACAGCTACAATATATTGAAAACCACTTGAGAAGAGATGGAACTTTGTTTACTACAAAACCAAATACTGCTCTATAATACTCATCTATGGGCTCTTTCATGACAACATATTCAGTCAATATTATTATTTTGCTTTTGATCAGGATGTAATATTGTACCGTACTTTTTCACAGCAAAGGATACCAGTGAAAATAATATGCATTGCAAAAAAGGTTCACTATAAAACCACAAAAGAAATAGCCTGTGCTGAAACCAAGGTTACACACAAAAGCATGAGTCCTGAGCACACACCTCATTCTTTGTTACACCATAGTACAGTGAGCTACTGCCCCCTAGTGCCTTATATCAGGGTAACTGTGAGCACTACTCTGTAAATGTTGAACAGTTGAACTCAGGAATACTGACTGGCATTCTGGATCCAATTTGGAAATTCGAGTTAAAAAGTAAATGTAAGAATGAAAAAATACATACCTTATTCTTCCTTGGTGGCCATCTCTATGGAAAAAAAATATGAAAGAATTAAGTGAATCAGTACAAACAATTCAGGGAAGACTGGGAACAGAGAACTGCATCAACAAATACTTCTTATATCATAAATACTCTTACAGGGCTTCTTTTGATGGTGGCATCTCTAAACATTAAGCAGATATCAATCACAATAACTCCCATGTCATCTTCTTTACTTTTTGGATCATCAAGGCGCAACTCCATTTCATAGGTTCTGTGGAAAGACAGAAAGGACCTGAGGGTTAAAACTGATGACCATTTATTGATATCTATTCCCTAAAGTATAAAAAAAAGTATTCCTCACTTGTACAGTTCAAGATTTTTCAGGCAAATAGTGCTGGAACCCATGAAGTCATCAGTCGTCCGATTTTTATCATAGACCTGCAACAATATTGACGGATAAACGTCAGAAATTGTGTGGTCTAGACCGTTCTTGTACTAATACACTTCTATTCAAACCAACAATGCTCACCCGAACTTCCACGATATGCTCTCTGTCTCGAAGAGGATAGGAGAAGGACTCATTCCACCGCGGATTCAGGTTTTTGTAAACCACTTTGCTTTTATAGAGCTGTTTTCCTTCAAGTTTGAACTTGACATAAGGATCACTGGTACCTAAAATTAAATACAAATAAAGAGCTATTCAGCAAAATAATGATATGTGACACAAGTGGTAATAACCTTAAGTGTTGAGTTAATATACAGCCACAGTGTATAAATACTGATTTAAAGAGCAATTGATGATGAAAATGTATTATTTAATGCAAACTTTTAACTTTGTGTGGAACATATTGACACTTTAAAAATGTACACAGCGTATGAAAACAGACACATACACACCCTTCCCCCATGCTGGTTGTGTGAGAGACTGAAATATGTGAGGAGGAGGTGCACGCCACACATGGTAAAAACAGAGGGATGTAGCTGTTTAATTGTGAAAGAGCAGAAACACTCGCCAGCATGAGGCAACCAGAAACCAAAATCTAGAAGCAACCAGTGTTAATCTCCCAAGCCTGTTAAGAAAGTCTGTCTGCGAGTGGGGTGGGGGTATGGGACTTCTTTGTTTCTGCAATTGCATGCAGATTGGCCAAAAAATGAAAGCCAGTCCCATGCCTTCATTTGTATAGGGGAATAAAGGGGTGCTTGAGAGAGCCTGCAGGGAGGCTTGAATCACATGACAAAGGCCCTGTGGGGATGGGCTGTCAGGCCTGTCAGCTCCCCACTCCAAATGAACATCTCGCAAAGGCAGGCAGGACCCACAGCAGCTCCACCCTGCCAGCCTGTGACAGGGAAACCTCCAGGCAACTTGACAGGAGGAGAATGTGGCAGCTAGCAAGGAGAAAAGCTCTGGCATGACTGAGAACGGTGACGATGGAAATTAATGGGAAAAAAGGAGAGAACAAAAACTAAGGAGTGGGGGCTGGTGGCGTGGGTCCTTTCAGAATATGTAATGACAATGTATGCCATTGGTGAGTCTCTGGCACAGTGTTTATTGTTGGGCAAACAGTGGAGAGACAGGGGGCATGTGGGGATTGCATCATCATTGTGCCATCTTGTCAGGGAAAGTAAGGTCTCAACTAGCAGGGAGTACGACACTGGGCTTGGAGGGTCTTCTGCCACCAGGCAGAAAAAAAATAGTTACGCATCAATCCAAAAAGAAAGTCCTTTCACAATTTTGGTATATGGTCACTTCCCAGGGATACAGGAGCCACAGCATAGCTTAAGGGTTTCCTTTTTTAACAAGATATGTATGTATATCACCCTAGAATGGGTCGTTTTAGCTATTATTTTTACTTTATGCAAAACAATGCATACAAGTCAAATAAACTGCCTAAAACACTGAGACCACACATGAATTTTCTCATATGTTGTAGTTCCATTTATGGCCACAGGATGTCACTGCTTTCCTGAAGCAAAGTCTGTTGGGCCTCAGGGAAGGGCCAAAATGAAAATAATAATAAAATTTGTATTTTACTCTTTCTCTCTCACAAATCAATACAATAATCAATGGGGAGTGAATTATGTAAGTAATATTTCAATACATGATCATTTTTGGGGTAAGTGATAACAACTCTTCCTCTTTAAAATCTATGAGCCACTGTTTTTAAAGAGCCCATCAGCTATCACTACCATGACATCTGGCATAGCATTTCAAAAAAATTCAAGTCAGTTGCAATATCAGTGGTTTCATGTACAGATCTTGTACTCTTTGTACTTTATGTCTTTTGTCATACTGGTCTGACTGCATACTTCTCTACAGTTTTTTTTCTTTGTACATACACCACTTGACAAAAGACGTCATCTTCACAAGTAAACAGAAGCATTAACTGAACACAGCCCATCTTGCCTTTATACACATTAACACATTTCCCATTCACAACTTGCCTCTGTTTGATGGCACATGAACACAGCAAGATTAACAAGATGTTTATGGATTGCATGTATGTGTAGTGTTTCATCGAGGGGCTCACCCTTTAGCTGTAGCCAAAAGCCAACACACAAAGAACTGCATTCTTTTACGATGCACAAGAAATCTTATATGGCATCTTTTGATCTGTACTGATCCATCCGAGGGTGTTTCAAATTCCCACAGTAAAGAGAACGGTTTGATGTTAGCTCATAAAGAGCCAGTAATTATCCACTCAAGATCCAAGCGAGACAGCTTCTTAAAGGCCAGAACTTATGGATCACCTACAGGTTGTTGACCTACCAGAGCGCTTGTCTCGGATGACCAGGTTCTTTCCCTGCTTTAGGTTGATGTTCAGGAGATATCTCTGGAACGCAGGTGCTTGGATATCAGGCCCTGGTGTCACAACCTGCTGTGGAGAACGATTCACATTAATGGGCTGTCTCATATCAGATACTTCACACAAGCAGTCCAGAGAGTACTCACAGAGTTTTCGAGAAGATCTATCGAATTTTCGTCAAAGAAATCAAAGTGTTCACTGGACATCTACATGGAAAAAGGTCGTAATAACATTTTATGAAACAACAGAATGAAAACACTTTTTATAGTACAGTCAAGTTGATTTATGACTTTCAATTAAAAAAGGTTGTTTCCATTTATCCATTTTATCAATTTCAAGACATATTCCTCAACATGTTTATAGATAATATAGATAGATAGATAATTTATTTTAGGGACACAACCAATGTGTCTACAGTATGTAAAAACTGTTAAGTAAAAAGTATCAACAGTAAGGCAAAGTGAGATGATATCAATCTTTTTTTGGTACTTTCTGTAGAGCTCTCCACGCTACATTGTGTGCCTAACTAGTAACACAGGTTTTCGCCTGGTTTCCCTATCTAAGAAGCATCTAGACAAAAGAGGTTACAATAGTCTTAGTTTCAGCTATACCCAAGGGCTGTGTAAGTCAAATCCCAGGTGGTCTCTTCACATTTAACACCAACCATCTGAGGATGCTTTTGATATGTTGCACCAGCGGACTGAATAGTTACTGTCACAATGGGTGTATATAGAATATACACTATGTCTATATGTAAGTGATAAAGTGTAATAAAACCACAAGCCTAAGCTCAGGCTTACAAAAGGAATGTCAATTTCATGCCATTCACTATATTAGAGGCTGAAGACAACTCTTCGCATAACAGCTGAAGTATGTGAAAAACCAAACCACACCATTTGAAAGTGAAATGAAAGCAAGCAAATATGACCAATGTAAGAATATATTATATGTTACTGACTTAGTTATTGGTCTTGCTTCATATTTTATTAGTAACAGTAACATGGTTTTATTTATAATACCTTTATTACTTCATACAACTTCTTCTTGGCCACTTTATTATGGCACTAGAGTAAGGATACTAACTCTCACATTAAAGTTTCTAGAACAGTAGTGGCTCTAAAAGTACTGTATTGATTTGTTTTGATTTCTATCTTGATTTATTACCATGTATGTCCATCACTTACTGGACATCTGAATACAAATTCCATACACCTGTAATAAAACTGACCTCTCCTGTTTCTTCCTCCTCACACTGGGCTCCTTCTGGCATAGGGTAGTCGATGGAGAAGTCTTTCATCAAAAGGGGAGAGCATGGTTCTCGGTCCATTTCCTCTGAATCTGTCGTCCAGGGCATGTTGACTCGCTCCTCATTGGGAGTAACGCAGGCAGAGTCCTGAGAGGTACCATCTGCACTCTCCAAAGGAGTACCAGGAGTATCTTGTAGAGAGACTCTATCTGCAGGAGTCCCTCTGTCAGATGATGGGTTTCCCTGCTCAAATGATGTGATCCTCTTTTCTCTGTAAGGGTTCACTTGTTCTCCAAGTGAGCTTGCTCTGGCCAGTGCTGCAGAAACAGTACCTGAAAGCACTCTTTCTGCCGGGGTCTCTTCACTATAGAGACTCTCCCCCTCTACAAGGTCTGGTCTTGGTGGAAGTGCGTTGGTAAAAATAGATCTTGGTGCAGCAATAGGGTCAAAAGAAAATTTAGGTACATTGCCCTTGGTTTTTTTATCTACTTGCGCATACAAGGCTTCTCGAGGCTTCTCTGAGCCAGAGTTTATCATATTATCAGTTTCCTCATAAGACATCATTGTCTCCATGGGTGCACTCATTCTATTCAAAGCAGAAGTTCTGGGAACTTTGATTCTAGTTTCTGGGACTGATTCATAAAGTTTGTCTGTAAAAAGTGGTCCATCAGCGATAGAGCCACTTGTAACCGAATCAGTATCACTCAAACCAGGGGACATACCAAAGAAGATGGCTTCAGAGGCAGAGGACATCAAGGAGCTATCTGTAGAAAATGTTTCACCCGGCACAAACCTTAGGTCTGGTACAGAAATACTGCGCCGATGAGCCAGCCTCCTCCCCTGCTTTCCAAGTGCCTTCTTACGTGGCTTCTTCAGGTTGCCCAACTTAGTTTTTATACGCAAGTTCTCCAAGAAGGTCTTTTTCTTGACATCCATCTTGACAGATTTCAGATTTTAAAAACTGTGAAATCAAGATGCTTTGTGTTACTTGTGTACAGGCCTAACACAATGCAACAATGTGTCATATATACAGTAGACTCAGTCCATGGAAATTATATAACTACAACAGCCACATGTACAATTTACTAGAGGTGACCACTGATTAAGGTCATACACACAAAAAATGTTGGCTATACTCACACTTACTTTTGAGCAAAAACATATAAAACCTCAAATAATATTTGATAAAAGCACAATTCCATGTATTGAGACAATTATTCTACTGTACTGGTCAAGATGTAGTAACACGGTGGCACATTAACCGCTTCAAAGGATTTCTCACCAAACACAGACATAGCAAAGATGTCTCTATAGTTGGTTTGCCATCCAAATTCATGTTACACCAGACTGTAACTATTTCTGCCAATTTTCTGTCTTGACCTTCTGTAATAAAACACAAACAATACCTACCTATAACATCATCTAAATGACCGAAACCTCAAGTACGTGCCAGGGTACGTTATCAAAGAAAACTCTTGCCGTTAGTGCTAAGGCCTAACATCTAATTAGCCAAACATTTCTGATAAATGACTTCACGTAAATGACTCAAACACAAACACAAAAACAAAACATCCTACTATACCTGTCAAGACGACCCTTTGCGGAACAGCTTGACAAAGCCACACACTGAATCAGTCTCAACTGAGAGCAGCAGTAAATTTCCAGAGAGGCAGCTCAACCATCCCAACTATGATAAAAAAGAGGAAGTGTTTCAGGGAACATAGCATGTAGATTATGCACTTCCCTGTTTGAAGACAGGTGTGAAGACAAGTGATTGGTGGAGAAGCCAAACTGGGTGAAACTAGCTATACCAGTCTCACAAGGGTGAGTTTCAACGACAATGACAATGCCACAGTCAGGTGTTAAGTCCTGCCCAAGTTTTTCATTCTGTAAGAATGCATAAACAGCATAACTTTGGGTGGGATGTGGGATCAGAAAAAAAAAACATGACAACAAATACCGAGACTATTAGTCACTGTAATATTAAATATACGCTAAAGCACTAAAACTACAGGGAAATAGTTGCTCACAGTAGAGCAGGTTCAACAGCCTGTTTATTGCCTGCCTGGCAGTCTGTTCATTGTTGATTTGAATATTTAATTTGACTATTTGCATTTGTGAGGGTATTTGTCTGTTTTAAGACTTGCATGCATTACACTTCCTCTAATATGGATTCTCTTATAGGTCCGTGTTTGAAAAAGATACATAATGCCATAATCTAGTCTAATTCTACAATACCCTTCTTATGTGTCCAAAACTGTCCCAAAATACTGCTGATGGATTCCACAACATGACTGAGGCATATGAAATGTTGGCTATCTGTTCATCTTATCTCATCCCCGATCTTCAGCACGGATCTGGCACTCGGTGGCGGCCTTGTCATACCAAACTCCATTTCTTTCACACAGCCCCATATTTGTTTACAGTGGAACATGGTTTAGCCTAAGCTCGTCAAAAGTGAGCATTCGTGTTTGCAAAGTATAAACTATAGCTTTCTGTCCACACATAGAAAGCCAATGCAACAGACCCACTGGTGTTCACTCTCTCTCTCTCCTTATCTGTGCATAACATTGGAGACTATATGACAACAGATGTGTTTGAGTCTGGATTGAGTCTTGTTCAATATTTGCTGATGTCTTAAGGAGATCAGGCCCACATGAAAGAACCCCAACTTGGCTCCCAGTTGAAAGGCAGGGCTGGGGATCTGAACAGGGCAAGCCCCTATGGCAGGTGGCCTGTCGCCCTTCTTCTCACACAACTCAAACACCCAAAAACCCTGCTTGGTTACTCTACACATGCACACTGGACTAGTTCCAGCCTGCAGCACAGCTGGTCTGATGGACAGAAAGCCAAGAACATGCACTTGGGGACAAATATACTGAGTAATGCACATGCAAGCCTTCACACTGAAAACAACCATGAAAGATGGAGGTTGTCAACTACACAGCTGACCTAAAACCCCTGTTTGTCTCACAGTGTTTTATGTTTTGTTATTCAATTTAATTTACGGATTTTTGTATTTATTCACAAGAGTAGCAATGCCACAATGGAGAAAATGCAAATAAAGCCCAGGATTCAAACATAACTTCAGCCAACAACTGTAAGTCAGTAGTATAAAGTGCTTCAACTTCTGTAATTGTACTTTTAACTTGACTGCTTACTTACTTTGGTGGAGTTTCCACTAAGATTACAGTAACTTTACACTTGATTTTAGGGATATTTCTCACCTTTCATTACAAGGCACAGTTTTTACATATTTACATTAACATTATAATTGTGATTTTTTGGTTTTAAAATAATAAAACTCTCTCTAAAACTCAGAAAGTCTCTGGGAGTAGAGGACTATGTGTAATTAAACTAGTAGTTTAAATACAGTAGCTTGCTGGTAGTTCATACATTTGTATTGTAATTCAGGTAGTTAAATCACTTTTCTTTTTTTTTCTTTTTTAAAATTAACCACTGACACTAGAAATAATTTTGGGCTGTATAAGAACTTCTTCTCTTTTACTCTTGCCTCTCTAAACTGGATTGTCCACTCACCTGTAGAACCTGTGAGTAAGCAGCCTACCTTTAGTCAACCTCAACCTTTTGTAGTACAACCTCTTCCTGTGTGAAGTTAGGTAGCTTTCACAGTAGCGTCCCCAACACTGGTGCCCCTGGTACAAGCTAGGTTATTTAGGTTGTTTTAGACAATGTTCCCATAAGGGTTGCGACCTGTTAGCTTCAGTGATTTACCTTCAGCTGACAACATGTACCAACAGGCCAGTAACCTGCGGTAGCTGTGTGAAGCATTGTATTACAGTGCCCCCTGCTGGCGACACTGTGGAAATACATGAGGTCGTCTTACAAAACTCACTCGAGATCACCTGTGAATCATATTGGTCCATATTATCCATATTATAAGCAGCCCAAAATCAAACTAAAAAGAAACTTAGACTGACCAGTGCTGAAAAGTACATTTATACCCTACACTTTAAGGTGGGGTCAATCATTCACTTACATCCTCAAACACAGACGCTTTGGGTTGGTGGTCATAAAATAACTCTATTTACATTTTGATAACAGCTTATTTAATTTTATTTAAGTAAGATTTTTTTTTGTTTTTTTACTAAAGTTCACTTGTGTTTTTGTTTAAGTAGGCCTATATGAGAACTTGTACCACCACTGGCTGCCACAGTGCATGACGCCATTAATCCACCATGTATGAAATCCTTACAGTAAATTGAGCAGCACTCTTTTTTTTAAAAAAAAAATAGACATTTTGAATCTGGTGATTTCTTTGAAGGAGTATGTCAGACAGTTTTCTTACACAAAGTCAGTGAGGTTAAGAGTTTGACAGTATCGTCAGTTCAGTTTGTGTCACTGTGTGGATAAACACTGGTAGATGCCTCAGTGTACTTACTGATGCATGCAGTCAATACAATGCAATTTCTAAGCAACACTGAAAGATGAATAGACATTGAGTTCAGATTGAGCATACACTGAGGTGTTTAATAAAGTTGACAGATTCTACTGTTTGGGACTTCACAGGAGAACAAATTCTATTTAAGAGTTGTTTACTTCATTTTATACAGAATAAGAGATAACCTAAATTACACATTAAAAGCCAATATTTGTACTTTTGTGAAGAATACAAATTTTGTACAACAATATCTAGCATAGTATCTTAATTGTTTAATAAAAAGTTCACTTGAATATTTATTATATGATGAAAATAAAATAACACATTCAAGGGAAATAAAATGTAGATTAACTTAAAATCTCTTTCGATTTTGAAACAAATAATTTCATTATTGGCAACAAAGTCCAGCTTGTGCCGCCAAACGGTCTGAGCATTCAAACCGAAAACAGCTTCTTTAGTTAAGTGAACTATCAACTACAAACACTTACCAAACACATAGTTCTGTTTATAAAAGCCATGAAGCAAAGCAGTGTACTGTTACACAGCAAAGTGAAGAAAGTCCTCTACAAAGGTTCACTGATTACTCTTTCCTTTCACATTCATAAGTTGTACACAATTTGGACATGGACCAAAAAGAGCAAAGTGTATCACAGTGCATTCACCGTACATGTTATTGTGTGAGTCTTTTCTGAGAAGAGGCAGGTCTGGTCAAGTTTCAATGATATCTGCATTGTCTTTTTTTTTTTACCGAGAGAAAAGCGAAGGAAAAATGGTATAATTTTTCTTTGGGATAAGGCATTTCCTAACTGTGCATATACTGTAGATAGAGAAACTACAAAATTCCCTGATATGTTATCAAGTGCTAAAGTATGTGCTCAACTACGAGGTGATTCTGCCGACTGCAGGCAGACAATTTTTGTTGTAGTCTTTATTATTGCTATTTTCACCAGCTGTGTTAGCCTGGATTACATTATGGATTACTATACACTATGTAAAGTATGTCTACCAATGTATATGAACATGAAGAGATTGCCCTGGGGAGTATCCAAATCAATCATTTAATAAAACATTATATGTAACTTGTAGTCCAGCAACCTCCAGCTGTGGCACTTCAGGATAACAGTCTACTCTCAGATGCTCTTCTTCCTAATACTTTGTGGACTAAATATGACCTGTAATGACATCATATTCTGTATATGTTCTGTGAATTGGGGCTGAAACTGCATAGATCTTTACAGGTGTATACTGAAAACTACCATGGAGCTGAGGATGTGGGGGCGGCATGAAAAGAAACTTCAGAAACACACACAAGATATGTCACAGCGAATGCAGAGTGATACCTTCCTCGTACAGCAAACTTCTCATACAAATGTGTGCAATCCAGCAGTGAGATTGAAGTCAATGACATTTCCTTGTTGGTGTTATTATGAATTAGCTGCTGAATTATTTGCTTCCGTGATGATGGAGAAGAAAACAAGTCACAGCGCCCTTTTTCCCCTTCTGTCTCTGCATGGTGTGATAACACAAGCATCCGCCTCGCCTTGCAACACCTTCCGCGTACATGACTTCAACGCCTTTAGATTTTCACTTTTCTGGTTCCTAAGGTTGCTAGGCCTATAGTACTCTTACTAGTAACAGGGCATCGATACAAGATACGATTTCTGGGGCCAATTAAGGAAACACATGAGTATTTTTTTACATAATTATGACTGACATTTCAAGTAGACTGCAATATTTACAACCACATCTGGGCACAGGCATAATCAGTTTTGTGTGAAGGTCAGCAGCCACTTATACCACGTTTAAGTCTTCTGCTTGAATTCTACGAACCAATAACAGGATAGTGGAAAGAAGTGGAGAGATGGCATGTCTTTCAGTTGAGCTACATGCAGTAACAATAGATTATTCTTCAGAGTGGGGCTGGGACCTTGGGTTTGAATGTTGGCAGTGTATTCAGCAGCTGCTGGTATACAACTAACACAAGCTAACAATAGGAGGGAAGAAACCCCATTTCCCCTAGCCTTGTGATCATCCTTCACAAATATGAAAATAGTGGAACTTCAACCTCAACCTTATTACAATGTCTTTAGGACAAACAGTCACCACTAATAAAGAAGAGAAAAAACAAATTGACCACCTGGAACTGAAACACATGGGAGGTTATGTTGGTAATTCAATTTAGAAGAGATTACAGTAAAATTAACAAAATAGCAAATATTGACCAGTGAATGATCTACTTTTTAAGGGTCTACTCTTGTAAACTTGGCTGTAATCCATAAAAA